CGGCCCCCCCCCCGCCCCCCCCCCCGCCCCCGCCCTGCCCGCGCGTGCGCACTGCCGCCCCGCCGCGGCCCGGCGCCCCGAGCGGAGAACAAAAGTGGCCGCGCGGAGGGGCGCAAACTCGGCGGCCCGCGGCTTGGGGCGGCCCGTTCTGGGACCGCTCGGGCCGCGCGCTCCTCTCCGCCCACCCAACCCCCGGCCAAACCCGAGGAAAGCGGGGCGCTCAGCCTAAGGCCGGGGTTATGGATACTTTCCGGTGGAAAGGAAAATGTCCATTTTTTCTTTCTTTTCTCCTCCGGCTCTCGCTGCTCCCCCTTTCCCCCTTCTCCCCCTTCCTCTGCCTCCGTCCGCCTCCGTCTCCTGCTTTACTTAAAGTGCCTTCCATCCCCTCCTGCCTCCCCGGACACTAGCGCTGCGACTTGGGAGATAAATTAGTTATCTCGCCAGATTCCCCCACCGCCTGATGGCCACCGTGTTGTTTAAACAGTATGAAAATTGATCTCTTGACTGTTCCTTTAATGATTTTTTTTTTTTTACACTCACAATTAAACTCTCAACAGATGTCCCTGGACTTTTTAAGACAGTTAAAAATTGTAAACACGCCCGGTCAATGTGACATAAGACAATTATAACTACAGCTGCGGAGATCGCATTTCAAAACTCGCAGCCCTGCAGCCAGGAGGTTAATGTCTCCAAGTCGATATTACCAAAGTGGAGTTTCCGTCCTCGTCAATTAAGGTCGGAATGCTTTGTGCTCCGGTAGCGTTGGTAAAATCCTGGTATGTTTGAAAGACGCTGGAGAGAAATGGTGCGATCTTATTTCGAAGTAAACGTTTAAACTGATAAACCATTATAACTTCGTGTTCCTGCACAGCACAAAAAATCCCCAGGCACACGCAATCAACAAATGCCCCTTTCAACATACGCCAACATGCCACACGTTACTTCTATTGTCAGCAGAAGTTGTTAGAATGTTTTTTCAGGTGGGGACCTCAATGTTGTCCTGGCCTCCAGTGGGGCATTCGCCACAGTGACTTATGTGTTTGTTGGGACCCCTCAAACACTGGGGGCCTCTCATCCCTGACCCCAGCACCCAGCCTTTGGGAAGCACTCAGTAAGGGATCGCTGGTTAATTTGTGAGTTTCATTATCCGTGGTAAAACCAACACGTGGTCATGATCCATTTGGTCCAGCACCAACCAGTGGGAGGCAGGACTTACCAAACGCTAAACTAAAAGGTGACTCTCAGTGCCCTGAGGAGGCTCTGGCTCCTTCCGCTCTGGCTCCTTCCGCTCTGGGTTCACCCCAATTCGGGATGGTGTCCACCCTACTTAGTGCTTTGCTGGCCTGGACACCGGCCTGGCAAAGTGGACTGCCCAGGGGACCAGTGTTAAGAGAGCCAAAGAGAGAGAGCGAGCGCACAAGAGGATTCCTACTGTAATCTCTGTAAATGTCACTGGCTTTTTGGTAAAATTTATAATAATTTCATTGGCCAAGTATGTAATTCAATCAACAGAGACGATACTCAGCTTGTCTGTGACCCGCACAGACTCAGGCAGATGCTGGCTGCAGGAGCGTGGCTCCCACTGTAGAGATGTTAAAGCGCTGTTTGCAAGTTTCTGTAATGAGTTCGGGTTACCGTCGTGATCATCGACGTGCCCCTCTGTTGTTTTCACAGCCACCTAATTCCTGAGCAAGCAACAGAGGTCAGGGGCTGGGGTGCCCTCTAACCAGGGGGGAACTGGTTATGTGCAAGAAAACCAAGCTGAAGTTCTTGTAAGCAGATTTGCAAGGAGCCCAGTGCTGCTGTGGCTGCTGTCGACGCACTCCCCCTGCCCCACCCCCAGGGCGTCCTCTACTGAGCTACCCTCCCCTGGCCCGTGCTGTGCCCTCCATCTGGAAGCCCTTTCCCTCATAACCCACCTTTTAAAAATCCTCTTCATCCTCCAAGATTCACTTTTAATGCCACCTTTTCTGGGAAGCTTCCTCTAATTTCCCCATGTAAATTCCTTACTCCTCCCTCTGGAGACTCACCACACAGAGCTTACTTTGCATGGGGGGCATTCCGTCCCATAATAAAGGTAATTACTTTCTTCGCCACTGGAGCCTGGGCAGACTCTGAGTCTGGCCTATGGGCAGAGCACAGTATATGTATGTTGAAGGAAGGCATGGTGTGCCTGGGGCCAAGTAGGTGCTTCAAGGATGAATAAGTGAATGAGGGGGTGAATGCACGAATGAATGAATGCTAAAAGAGAAACACATTCTGTTCTCAGACAGGGAGGCTGTTAATCGTGGCTATAGAAATGAGCAGTGCCTACAATCCATTCCAGCATCCACATTCCTCTTCACACCTGCACTGTCGTCAGCTGGACAGGGGCTGGGATGGACGCTGGAGTGTCTGGATTTGAG